TAATCCCTTGATATTATTGTTGGATTTGATTTTAATAGCTAAAATCTCGATGGCAATAATAAATAGATATGCCGATAGTGGACAACCTAGTTTCACTCCTCTTGACAGGTTAAAACTTTCTGAGAAACAGCCATTATTTACTATTTTACACCTAGGGATACTATACATGATTTTAACCCAATTTATAAGAGATTGTCCAAAATTGAAATGCTCCAGGCATTTATATATAAACCACAGTCGTAATTTATCAAATGCCTTTTCCAAGTCTGCTATGAATAGCAGGCCTGGTTTCCCAGATTTTTCCTAGTGTTCTATTGTTTCCAGTACTTGCCTTATATTACAGTGGGGAAAAAAAGTATTTAGTCAGCCACCACTTAAAAAGATGAGAGAGGCCTGTAATTTTCATCATAGGTAAACGTCAACTATGACAGACAAAATGAGGAAAAAATATCCAGAAAATCACATTGTAGGATTTTTAATGAATTTATTTGCAAATTATGGTGGAAAATAAGTATTTGGTCACCTACACACAAGCAAGATTTCTGGCTCTCACAGACCTGTAACTTCTTCTTTAAGAGGCTCCTCTGTCCTCCACTCGTTACCTGTATTAATGGCACCTGTTTGAACTTGTTATCAGTATAAAAGACACCTGTCCACAACCTCAAACAGTCACACTCCAAACTCCACTATGGCCAAGACCAAAGAGCTGTCAAAGGACACCAGAAACAAAATTGTAGACCTGCACCAGGCTGGGAAGACTGAATCTGCAATAGGTAAGCAGCTTGGTTTGAAGAAATCAACTGTGGGAGCAATTATTAGGAAATGGAAAGACATACAAGACCACTGATAATCTCCCTCGATCTGGTGCTCCACGCAAGATCTCACCCCGTGGGGTCAAAATGATCACAAGAACGGTGAGCAGAAATCCCAGAACCACACGGGGGGACCTAGTGAATGACCTGCAGAGAGCTTGGACCAAAGTAACAAAGCCTACCATCAGTAACACACTACGCCGCTAGGGACTCAAATCCTGCAGTGCCAGACGTGTCCCCCTGCTTAAGCCAGTACATGTCCAGGCCCGTCTGAAGTTTGCTAGAGTGCATTTGGATGATCCAGAAGAGGATTGGGAGAATGTCATATGGTCAGATGAAACCAAAATAGAACTTTTTGGTAAAAACTCAACTCGTCGTGTTTGGAGGACAAAGAATGCTGAGTTGCATCCAAAGAACACCATACCTACTGTGAAGCATGGGGGTGGAAACATCAGGCTTTGGGGCTGTTTTTCTGCAAAGGGACCAGGACGACTGATCCGTGTAAAGGAAAGAATGAATGGGTTCATGTATCGTGAGATTTTGAGTGAAAACCTCCTTCCATCAGCAAGGGCATTGAAGATGAAACGTGGCTGGGTCTTTCAGCATGACAATGATCCCAAACACACCGCCCGGGCAACGAAGGAGTGGCTTCGTAAGAAGCATTTCAAGGTCCTGGAGTGGCCTAGCCAGTCTCCAGATCTCAACCCCATAGAAAATCTTTGGAGGGAGTTGAAAGTCTGTGTTGCCCAGCGACAGCCCCAAAACATCACTGCTCTAGAGGAGATCTGCATGGAGGAATGGGCCAAAATACCAGCAACAGTGTGTGAAAACCTTGTGAAGACTTACAGAAAACGTTTGACCTGTGTCATTGCCAACAAAGGGTATATAACAAAGTATTGAGAAACTTTTGTTATTGACCAAATACTTATTTTCCACCATAATTTGCAAATAAATTCATAAAAAATCCTACAATGTGATTTTCTGGAGAAAAAAAATCTCATTTTGTCTGTCATAGTTGACGTGTACCTATGATGAAAATTACAGGCCTCTCATCTTTTTAAGTGGGAGAACTTGCACAATTGGTGGCTGACTAAATACTTTTTTCCCCCACTGTATCTCCAATGTATCGCCCATGTAAAAAACCTGTCTAATTAGAATGAATAATGTCCGACAATACCTTTTTAATTCTATGCGCTATACATTTTGCTAGAACTTTTGCATCACAACTCTGAAGTGTAAGGGTCCTCCAATTTTTTTAATGGACTGGAACAGGATTATATTTTCCACTTGTATCCTGTTTCAGTAATAATGAAATCAGACCTTCTTCTTGAGTGTCTGATCACCTACCATTTACATAGGAGTGGTTAAAACATGTGAATAACGGTCCTCTGAGTATATCAAAAAAGGTTTGGTATACCTCAACTGGTATGCCATCCTACCCTGGAGTTTTCCAGGACCTAAAGTCTTTAATTGCATCCAGAAGTTCCTCCTCTGTAATTTCACCTTCACATTAGTCTTCCTGTATGGCTGTTAATTTTACATTATCAATAGAAAAAACATCTCTACAATTTGCTTCAGTTAAAGGAGATGGAGGCGACTGAAACGAAAACATATCCTTAAAGTACTTTGTTTCCTCCTTCAAAATATAATTTGGTGAATCATGGGTGACTCCGTCATTTGTAACCAGTTTCAATAAATTATTTTTGGTAGCATTCAGTTCATTTATTAACAACTGACATGTATCACTGGAGAACAGACATGTTACCATACACAGTGTACAAAACATTAAGGACACCTGCTCTTTCCATGACATAGACTGACCAGGTGAATTCAAGTGAAACTATGATCCCTTATTGATGTCGCTTGTTAAATCCACTTCAAATCAGTGTAGATGAAGGGGAGGAGAGAGGTAAAAAATATTTTTAAGCCTTGAGACAATTGAGACATGGATTGTGTACAGTATGTGTGCCATTCAGAGGGTGAATGGGCAAGATAAAATATTTAAGTGCCTTTGAACAGGGTATGGTAGTAGGTGCCAGGCGCACCGGTTTGTGTCAAGAACTGCAACGCTGCTGGGTTTTTCACGCTCAAGAGTTTCCCGTGTGTATCAAGAATGGTCCACCACCCAAAAGACATCCAGCCAACATGGGCCAGCATCCCTGTGAAACGCTTGACACCATGCCCCAACGAATTGAGGCTGTTCTGAGGGCAAAAGGCGGTGGAGCAACTCAGTATTAGGAAGGTGTCCTTAATGATTTGTACACTCAGTGTATATAATAGAACTAACACCATCCATGCTCTGAGGCGCAGGCAGGAAAACCATGTGAGTGAAGATACCGTGGGCATGCTAAGAGGAGGAAAGACCTGCTCCTGGTCCTGGAGAGCTGCAGTTTGTTCCAGCCCATCTCTAACACACATACATCTACTAATCATGATCTTCAAATTAGAACGTGTCTAGTTTTCTCAGGCGTGTTGGTGCTGGGCTGGAACAAAAGCCTGCAGTCCCCAAACACTGTCGTTAGCCACCCCTGTTGTAAAGAGAAAATTGTGCTAAGGGACCAAGGAACACAGGGAGGTTGGTTAAAATCACCCTTTTAACAGGTATGGAAAAGAGGACATTATAGCGTGAAGTGAAGTGTTAAATAGATGGATGGACGCTAATCCTTTAGTTCCCACAGCGTTGATCAATCAACAGCATCATGCCATGGAGAGAAGCATGTACACACTGCCCTCTGCTGGTAGGACCAAACCCTGCTGTGGAACCAATCAGCTGATGAGAGCAGATAGTAGTAGTAGTCCTAACAGTAGTAGTAGTAGTAGTAGTAGTAGTAGTAGTAGTAGTAGTAGTGGTGGTAGTAGTAGTAACAGTAGTACCAGGAGTACCAGTAGTAGTAGTATTATTAGGAGCAGTAGTAGCAGTAGTAGTAGTAGTAGTAGTAGTAGTAGAAGTGGTGGTAGTAGTAGTAACAGTAGTACCAGTAGTAGTAGTATTATTAGGAGCAGTAGTAGCAGTAGTAGTAGTAGTAGCCATAGTAGTAGTAGCAGTTGTAGTAGTAGTATTATTAGGAGCAGTAGTAGTAGTAGTATCTGTAGTATTAGTAGTAGTATACTGAACAAAAACAAACGACACAACATGCAACAATTTCAACAATTTTACTGAGTTACAGTTCATATAGGAAATCAGTCAATTGAAATAAATAAATTAGGCCCTAATCTATTGATTTCACATGACTGGGCAGGAGCGCAGCCATAGGTGGGCAGGGAGGACATAGGCCCACTCACTGGGGAGCCAGGCCCAGCCAATCAGAATGGATTTTTCCCCACAAAAGGGCTTTATTACAGACAGAAATACTCCTCAGTTTCATCAGCTGTCCGGGTGGCTGGTCTCAGACCGGATGTGGAGGTCCTGGGCTGGCGTGGTTACACGTGGTCTGCTGGTCGGTTATGAGGCCAGTTGGACGTACTGCCGAATTCTCTAAAACGATGTTGCAGGTGGCTTATGGTAGAGAAATGAACATTAAATTCTCTGGCAACTGCTCTGGTGGACATTCCTGCAGTCAGCATGCCAATTGCACGCTCCCTCAAAACATGAGACATCTGTTGCCTTGTGTTGTGTGACAAACGGCACATTTTAGAGTGGCCTTTTATTGTCCCCAGCACAAGGTGCACCTGTGTAATGATCATGCTGTTCAATCAGCTTCTTGATATGCCACACCTGTCAGGTGGATGGATTATCTTGGCTAAGGAGAAATGTTCACTAACAGGGATGTAAACAAATTTGTGCACAAGAGAAATACGCTTTTTGTGCGTATGGAAAAATTCTGGGATCTTTTATTTCAGCTCATGAAACATGGGACCAACACTTTACATGTTGCGTTTATATTTTTGTTCAGTATAGTAGTAGTAGTAGTAGTAGTAGTAGTAGTAGTAGTAGTAGTAGTAGTAGTAGTAGTAGTAGTAGTAATAATAATAATAGCAGTAATATTATCAGTATTAGCAGTAGTAGTAGAAGGGGAGTGGTGTGAGATAGAGATAGAGATAGATAGAGAGATAGAACAAGAGAGAGATAGTCAGAGAAAGAGAGAGAGCGGGGGAGGGAGAGAATAAAATAGTATGAGTTTGAGAGAACAGCCAGTAGGGACATGACAGAATGTGTGAGTGAGTGCAAGCGTGGCAACGGTTGTTGACATGAGACTGGTCTTCCCCCAGCCCACCCCCCGCCCGCTTCATGATTCCACCCAACTCAAAACCCTGCTGCAGCCCTGTGTATATGAAAGAAAAACAGCACACACGCACGCACACAGAGAGTACAGTCTATGGAGATGGGGCAGTCTGGAGCCTAATGATTCTAAAAAGTTCATTACCACATTCGTCTAGGTCTGTGACTGCGGGGGAGGCAATATCAGAGAGCATTAATAAACATTCTCTAGACTAGCAGCACAGAGACACAGCTATTATATCGGTCTTTATTAACATAAGAGAGATATCTGCACACATTCAACACTCCAACAGTTTTATAAATTAAACAACTTCAAAAGGACTTTATGCACAGCGAGAGAACAAAGTTAGCACTCCTCTCTCGGAGGCCTAATGAATGGCTCGGCATGTGCGCCTGTTCATTTCTTTGAACTCATTATTTAATTAAGCGACTCATGGATGAGAAGCAAATATAATTTACGACGCAATCGCGCTTCATTTGAGTATGTATTCCTTATCTCTGGGAAATAACACACACACACAAACACACTGTACATACACACACACACGCTGTACATACAGTGCATTCGGAAAGTATTCAGACCCCTTCCCTTTTTCCACATTTTGTTACGTTACAGCCTTATACTAAAATGGATTAAATACAAAAATGTCCTCATCAACCTACACACAATACCCCATAATGACAAAGAAAAAACAGGTTATACATTTTTGCAAATGTATTAAAAATAAAAAACAGAAATACCTTACATAAGTATTCAGACCCTTTGCTATGAGACTCGAAATTTAGCTCAGGTGCATCCTGTTTCCATTAATCATCCTTGAGATGTTTCTACAACTTGATTGGAGTCCACCTGTGGTAAATTAAATTAATTGGACATGATTTGGAAAGGCACACACCTGTCTATATAAGGTCCCACAGTTGACAGTGCATGTCAGAGCAAAAACCAAGCCATGAGGTCGAAGGAATTGTCCATAGAGCTCCGAGACAGGATTGTGTCGAGGCACAGATCTGGGGAAGGGTACCAAAAAAAATACAGGTGTGCCAAGCTTGTAGCGTCATACCCAAGAAGACTCAATGCTGTAATTGCTGCCAAAGGTGCTCCAACAAAGTACTGAGGAAAGGTCTGAATACTTAAGTAAATGTGATATTTCCGTTTTGAAATTTTTAATACATTTACAAAAAAAACAATTTAATCAATTTTAGGATAAGGCTGTAACGTAACAAACTGTGGAGAAGTCAAGGGGTCTGAATACTTTCCGAATGCACTGTACAGTGGGGAAAAAAAGTATTTAGTCAGCCACCAATTGTGCAAGTTCTCCCACTTAAAAAGATGAGAGAGGCCTGTAATTTTCATCATAGGTACACGTCAACTATGACAGACAAATGAGGAAAAAAATTCCAGAAAATCACATTGTAGGATTTTTTATGAATTTATTTGCAAATTATGGTGGAAAATAAGTATTTGGTCACCTTCAAACAAGCAAGATTTCTGGCTCTCACAGACCTGTAACTTCTTCTTTAAGAGGCTCCTCTGTCCTCCACTCGTTACCTGTATTAATGGCACCTGTTTGAACTTGTTATCAGTATAAAAGACACCTGTCCACAACCTCAAACAGTCACACTCCAAACTCCACTATGGCCAAGACCAAAGAGCTGTCAAAGGACACCAGAAACAAAATTGTAGACCTGCACCAGGCTGGGAAGACTGAATCTGCAATAGGTAAGCAGCTTGGTTTGAAGAAATCAACTGTGGGAGCAATTATTAGGAAATGGAAGACATACAAGACCACTGATAATCTCCCTTGATCTGGGGCTCCACGCAAGAACTCACCCCGTGGGGTCAAAATGATCACAAGAACGGTGAGCAAAAATCCCTGAACCACACGGGGGGACCTAGTGAATGACCTGCAGAGAGCTGGGACCAAAGTAACAAAGCCTACCATGGGCCAAAATACCAGCAACAGTGTGTGAAAACCTTGTGAAGACTTACAGAAAACGTTTGACCTGTGTCATTGCCAACAAAGGGTATATAACAAAGTATTGAGAAACTTTTGTTATTGACCAAATACTTATTTTCCACCATAATTTGCAAATAAATTCATTACAAAATTCTACAATGTGATTTTCTGGATTTCTTTTTCTCATTTTGTCTGTCATAGTTTACATGTACCTATGATGAAAATTACAGGCCTCTCTCATCTTTTTAAGTGGGAGAACTAAATACTTTTTTCCCCCACTCTACATACATAGTTATGTTTTTTTTTATGTATCACTGAAAGCTTTATAAGAGATCCCTGGTGGGAGCAGTAAACAGTGAGCGGACAAGAGCAAGCTGCCCCTCCCTCCTTCCCCTGCACCTCCTCCTCTTCCAAACTCTTAAAGGGATACTTTGGGATTTTGGCAATGAGGCCCTTTATCTACTTCCCCAGAGTCAGATGAACTCTGGGGGAGTTGATAAAGAGCCTCATTGCCAAAATCCCAAAGTATCCCTTTAACATCCACTCTACCCCATGTCTACCTCTCTGGCTGGCTGGCTGGCATGTTGGAACTGCACTTTATCTTACCCTACTAACTAACACACACTTACTGCATCCTAACATGGCTGGATTACTGCTGAGTTCTCAGTCAATTAGTTAAACAGTGAGTAGGGTAGTGGTCCAGTAGATATCCTACAGCGAGTAGGACAGGGATACGGGTCCTTACCTTTAGTGGCCCCTGCGGCCCCCAGGTGGTAGATGGCCCCTAGGATGAGCCACAGAGCCCTCTGCTCCTCCACTGAGATGCCCAGCACCTTCATGGCTGCCTGCAGCTTGGTGAACTGCTGAGATGACTTCTGTTTGTCCTCCGGCTACAAGGAGGGAGGGATGGGGGGAGGGAGGGAGGGAGGGAGAAGAGGTGGAGGGGTTAAGACAGTTTACCAGTTGTCCCACACACACAATTCAGAAAAGGACATATAATACACATAATAATAAGAGCATAAAAACAGCAATTTACTTTAGACTGAGGCACAATTCCGAAGGCGCTGTTCTCTGCAAAGTGGTTAAAGTGCAGCTCCGTTCTGAGAGGAAACAGGGGAAATGAACAGGTTGAAATCACCGTAAATAGCTAGTTTACACCACAAGGTTAACATGAGAACAAGATGATATACACAAGACCAAGCTTCTGCAATCTACTGCAACCACCCACTTCAATTCAATCCCAATTGAGAGGTGGTAGAGGGCTCACCTGAGTGTGGTGTCAGCTCCGGCCATCAGGTAGTAGAAGACGTTGAAGGTGGACTCAGTCTCTGGCCGTTTGGTCACTCTCAGCTTCTCAAGCAGCATGGTCTGAGGTACAGGAAGAGGACAACAAGATGTCAATATGTGTGTGTGCGTATGTCAGTGTCCATGCCCGTGTGTGTGCGCGTGATACTGCCTACCTGTATGGATGCTGAGGCCACCTGGCCAGCCTGGTCGAAGTCCAGAGAGACAATCTGAGAGAAGCGGCTGGCGTTGGTGTTCATGCAGGTGGAGCTGTTCCCAAATGCTTCCAGGATGGTGTATACTGCCTGCCACTTCTCCCCTGCAGGGATGAAGGGAGGTAGGGCATGTGGTCGGGGGACAAGAGGAGGGAGGAAGGAAGGGGGTGGACAGCGAGGGGGACAGAGGACAGTTAGAGGACAGTTAGAGGACAGCTTTATTTATTTCAAATATCATGTCAGTGTTTTGGGATTTCACATTCAATAATGATCTATTTGTGAGGGGATTAGACTACCATGCTGTGTGTTTCTTTGATAATCATGTTATGTCATGTCAGTTAGGCTTTGTCAATGATTCCCTTAGTGGAGCTCCTTTCCCTCCTTCGAGTTCAAGATGAGCAGGAACACCTCATTACTCAAAGAGCAGGTCTGACTCACTTAACCCTAATTGCTCCTGTAAGTCACTCTGGATAAGAGTGTCTGCTAAATGACTAAAATGTAAATGTATGTATGTGAAACTTACACTACATGGCCAAAAGTATGTGGACAAATTAGTGGATTTGGCTATTTCAGCCACTCCCGTTGCTGACAGGTGTAAAAAATTGAGCACGCAGCCATGCAATCGACAAACATTGGCAGTAGAATGGCCCACACTGAAGAGCTCAGTGACTTTCAACGTGCCACCGTCATAGGATTGCCACCTTTCCAACAAGTCGGTTCATCAAATTTCTGCACTGCTAGAGCTGCCCCGGTCAACTGTAAGTGCTGTTATTTTGAAGTGGAAACATCTAGTAGCAACAATGTCTCTGGCCGCGAAGTGGTAGGCCATACAAGACCACAGAACAGGACCGCCGAGTGCTGCAACCCTCCCTCACTAATGAGTTCCAAACTGCCTCTGGAAGCAACGTCAGCACAATAACTGTTAGTCGGGAGCTTCATGAAATGGGTTTGCATGGCAGAGCAGCCGCACACAAGCCTAAGATCACCATGCGCAATGCCAAGCGTCGGCTGAAGTGGTGTAAAGCTTGCCGCCATTGGACTCTGGAGCAGTGGAAAAGCGTTCTTTGGAGTGATGAATCACGCTTCACCATCTGGCAGTCCGACGGACAAATCTGGGTTTGGCGGATGCCAGGAGAACGCTACTTGTCCGAATGCACAGTGCCAACTGTAAAGTTTGGTGGAGGAGGAATAATGGTCTGGGGCTGTTTTTCATGGTTCGGGCTAGGCCCCTTAGTTCCAGTGAAGGGAAATCTTAACGCTACAGCATACAATGACATTCAAGACGATTCTGTGCTTCCAACTTTGAGGCAACAGTTTGGGGAAGGCCCTTTCCTGTTTCAGCATGACAATACCCCTGTGCACAAAGGTCCATACAGAAATGGTTTATTGAGATCGGTGTGGAAGAACTTGAAGGACTGCACAGAGCCCTGACCTCAACCCCATCGAACACCTTTGGGATGAATTGGAACACCGACTGCGAGCCAGGCCTAATCGCCCAATATCAGTGCCCGTCCTCACTAATGCTCTTGTGGGTGAATGGAAGCAAGTCCCCGCAGAAATGTTCCAACATCTAGTGGAAAGCCTTCCCAGAAAAGTGGAGGCTGTTATAGCAGCAAAGGGGGGACCAACTCCATATGAATGCCAATGATTTTGAAATGAGATGTTCAAGCAGGTGTCCACATACTTTTGTGGCATGTAGTGTATATAGCCTACTGTACCTCCCATAGCAGCTCCCCTGTTTAACAGTCTAGTCTAGTAGTGGCTGGGTTCTGGAGCTCTCATTAGCCCATTACAGCTAACCAGGAGAAGCTGAGGAGTTTTGATAAGCTTTGCTAATTATCCCCCAGCTCCACAGGGCATCATTAGGGGCTCCCTCATCCATCACACACACACATGCACACACACACACAAATGCACAGGAGCACATTCTCACACGCACGAACACACACACACACACCTGGAATACTGAGCCAACCACAACCAATCTTCCAACCAAAGTTTCGAAGTCAGCGTCCTCCTCCTCCTCCTCTCATTACCACCCCTACACTCTCCCCCATGCCTACCTCTCTGGCTAGCATGTTGGAACAGCTCTTTATCTTACCCTACTAACTAACACATCTACTGCACCTGGATTTCTGCTGAGTTCTCAGTCAATTAGTTGACACTGATCTAAATCAGTAACAACTCAGTGAATGTCCTCCTGTGTACAAACACATGCACAATCTGTGTGAAGTCATTAGATTATTTACTTAATTAGCTATTAAGCTATTAATACTAATTACCTACAGAGTAATTAAGTGAATTTAAGCAACCACGGTCATCAAGTAACACTTAAGTAACTAAGCCACCATCCCCAACAATCCTTCAACATTCTTTACATTTCATTTATAAATTTCCCTCAGTCATTTAATAGACAAAAATCCCTGAACACTAGCTTTACTGCTTGCTGGGCGTAAAGGAGCAATTTTGGTAGAGTCCAGGACCAGTTCAAAAGGAGAGCGATTAACTCATCATAGCTGAGGACTCTCTCACCAGAGAAGATCTTTCCGGTGCTGCCAGCGATGGAGACCAGGTACTGGACCAGGTGTTGACAGTTGGTCGTCTTGCCGCTGCCGCTCCGCCCCAGCAGCACGATGGACTGGTCCTGACGCGTGGTCAACAGGTTCCTGTAGGCCGACTGGGCCACCGCGTAGATGTGAGGTGCTGTGTCCTCTCGCCTGCACCCCTTAAACATGTGCATCACCTGATGGGACAGAGGAGAGGGAGGGGAGAGAGAGAGAGAGAGAGAGAGAAGGGATGGGGGAGAGCGAGGTACACAACATTTTAACTGTAGTTCACCTCATGTCCTCCCAGTGACTCCTGTACGGTCCTCAGAGGGGGTCTGTGTGTGTGTGTGCGTGCATGCGTCTGTGTGTGTGTCCTTAAATCGCCACCATCCCAGCTAAGCACCCTGTCTGTACCGTCTAATGGGAAGTCGTTCCAGTATGTTAAGTAGATATTACAGCCTGCAGGCCTCCTCAATACTGTAACCTCTAAATCTCATTAGGATAATTGGATTTCATTGTCATGCTGTGGACCTCTGAAGACTTCCCCCTCTATCCTCCTAGTCATCTCTCCTGTTTCAATTCATCCATCCTCCTCTCCCTAACAGGAAATGACATAATAGCAAGGAAATACACAAGAAATTCTAGCATTTAGTAGACCCCAATGTGTACATCAAATAGCATGCATGATACCATTCTAAACAGTGAATAAACCAGAATCATGTCAGTGGAGTGGTACAGGTATGTTCTCAAAGGTCATGAAATGTGCGTCTGCCGGTATGTGCGTGTGTGTGTGAAGACATGTATCTGCTGTGTGTGTCCTCTCTCCTCACCTTCTCTGAGTACATGGAGGGTGCGCTGAGGGGGTTGATGATGACCATGTTGGGCCCGGCCTGTGTGTGGATGAGGTTGCCCCCGTAGCGCTGGCGCAAGGAGTGCATCACACTGGACTCATTGAGGTACTGCAGCGAGGCCAGGTCCTCAGAGCGGTCAAACGACGGGGGGTTCGCCTGGGACAGGAGCAAAAGTCAAAGGTGAACGATTAATGACTGAGGAGTATTGTAATACTAGAGCTTTATTAAAGGTACACTCAGCAATATGAAAACATCATACATACTGGGACTCTGGTTGTCTGAAGTGGGACTGCTTACAGAAATGACCAACAACAGAATTCAAATCTGCCAAGACCTTGCCTTTTGATTAGACAGGTTGAAGTTTCTCCAGGTTGCCTACACCTGTTTTGTATTGTCAGATTGATCTAAACAAAGAGCCCTCTGTAGGGGTAGAGGCTAGGGGTCCATTTGAGACTGGCAATCTGACTGGTAATATCTTGAGTTTCACTGAGAAGTAGAGGAGCAGTATTAAGAGAAGTCGAGCAGGGACTTAGTATGCCGCACCGTGACTTGCCACCAGCCACCAGGAACCTGATGCCAAGTCTTTGATGCAATTAAAACAGATGTCTCCCTCCAACCTCAGACGGGTACAAGTTTGCACTTCCTTAATCAAACAGAATTAAATGTATGATTAGATGGCGACCTTGACGCCTTTGAAAACACTAACTGTTCAAAGTCACCCTTATTATCAGTTCACCCTACGACAGTTAAATGACTGTCCATAACACCAGGTGGAGATTTCTTATTTTTCTCCATCCTGAAAGCAGCGCAGACATCCTCTAGTCAAGGTCTTGGAGACAGCATGTTGTGAATGATGGGAGGTTTTTGATGCTTTGTGCCAAAACTGTTTTTAAAGCGTCCTGTCACTGATCTCTCTGTGATTCGAGCCTGGTGCCATGTCTGTGTGAGTCACCTGATCGAGGCCTGCCAAACTCACACCTTTTCCACTCTAACCTGTCCCCCTCTCCACAGATGTCCCACAATCCCCTGTGTCTGGGGACTGTCTGCATCCCGGCTGACCATCTGTGTCTGCTACACGCTCCAGGCAGGCTGACTGACGGGTGCAAAGACCCCCTACCTTCTTCTTGGATCTTTCCCCTACATGCCCCCCACCCCCCCCCCCGTATTGAAGGTGTAGTTCCTCCTCCCCACCTTCTCCACGTCGTCCTCATCTACGTCCAGTACTGTCCCGTCATGTTCCAGTTTGATCTTCACCTTCCCCTCCGGTAGAGAGCCTGCCTCAGTCTTCAGCAGCGTCGCTATGGATACACACACACACAGACACACACACAAAAAAACGTATTGGGATATAACGTATTTGCTGGAGTGTGCACAGACATGGTTTCAGGAAAAAACTATAGCCCATAGTTTAAAAGCAATGGTAAATATTAGCATGGCCAGAGCTCTGCACCCCTCCTGGACCAAGATGTAAGACAGGAACTTACCCAGGGAGAAGCCATCCTTGTGGACCAGCCAGACCTTCTCTGAGCCGTACCATGCCTGCTCTGTGGTTATCTGCTCCTCTGTCTTCACCTGGAAGAGATGGGGAGAAGACAACAGTCACACACACAGCACAACAATGACCTTAGGCCAGGTCAGCTTTCACTGGGCTGCAGTAGCTACCACTCAGCAGTTTTCAACCACAGTGAGGTCTTTAGACTTGAGAGGACACGTGCTCCCTACAAAGACACCTGTTCACATCAATAACATTCACTCACGTGTGTTTAAAGTATCTGGTTATCAGGCCAGCGTTGAGAGCTTATAGCATGTTACACAATTATGTACAGTAGCATTGGAGATAATGGGCTGACAGTGGGCATGCAGTGGAGTTGCTAATAGTGCATCATGTGATGAAAGGCAGGGCGCTGGAGAGGCGTTGGTGGAGCAGGCAGAGATAAAAACCAGTTAGGAGTCCCAGATCACAGAGAGACATTTCTCCAGCTCAGCTCTGCCCGGAGTGTCGCCTAGAAACGCCTGACCAATCCGTGTTACCACGCTTGACCTTCCCAAAGCCTCTCACACTCCACTGGACATGCTCCTTCCGGCTGTGTGTGTGTGTGAGAGTGTGAGTGAGCGTGAGAGAGAGAGAGAGAGAGAGTGAGAGAGTGAGAGAGTGAGAGAGTGAGAGAGAGCAGGAGTCAGTGAAATCTGACAGAGAACATGAATTATCAGTGAACCGAATCTGGACAAAGACACTGTTGGATGCACATCAATGTTACACAGCATGGTGGTGAGAGGAGGGAGGAGTATGAGGGGAATAAATACACTATCCACACAGCACAGCAGCACAACACACACCAAATGCTAGAGATTGACCGTATCCCGAGGGATGACAACAAGACATTATAAAGTAAAACATAAACACAGGGATAAAAAAAAACATATGAAATTCACATTGTGTGAAATGTAGGCCTATATAGCTTATTTCTAATAATGCATAATCAGCCACAATCAGGTGATGTTTTTTGCAGCGGGTCTGTCTCATTGTCTCCTAACTGGAAAACTGCCGTCATGTAATAACATCTACACCAGACAAAATGTGATGGTATGATTGATCCTATGGAATCCAGACAACCACAAATCTTATGTGCCATCGAAAAAGCTTCATTTTGAGTGTTGATTTCCCCAGAAATGTTTGTAATTAGGTGAAAGATGGCCAAAGGAGTGCGGGTGGCTTGGCTTTGCGTGAATACTACGCAGATGTGTTTGGTGGGGGGAAGGGTGGGGGACGACACTGCAACGGAACACAACACACAGAGTACACAGCACTCCAGGGGTCGGTGGTGGGAGTGGTGGAGGGGGTGAATTACACACAGGCACAGCAAAGACCAGACCTTGGGTTGTTGGGCAGCGGCGTGAGACGCCTGAAGGATGGCCACAGGGTCCTCGTCCACCTGTCCCTGGAGGACGGCATGCGTGAGGGGAGGAGAAGGGGTCAAAGGTCATAGTTAGAGAGGAGCTACAGTGGAAAGATGGATAGCAATCCACTAAACAACACAAAACATCAAGCATGTCCAGTAAGTCATCATCCTTCATCATCATGGGCTGCTGGAATGGACAGATATATAGGGACAGAGAGAGTAGGAGTCATCCTCGAGGAGAGCGATATCCCTACAGACTGTTCACTTATGGACTGAATGAACATGGCTTGAGCAAATCTGGACCAAATGATAGGCTAACTCATCCTTCATTATTCTCTAAAGTAACGAGTACATTATGTAAGTCATCAGGGTCAAGATCAGGGAGGGATGGGGAGGAAAAACTGGGGGATGGCAAAGAACGAGAGGTCAGGCTCTATGTCTGTGAGATGAGCTAATCATGTCATAAAGGGGAGGCAGAGAGAGCAACGAGACAGGAACACCTGACAGTCATAAATCACACACAGCTGCGATAACCCCCCACCCACCGCCATTCACTCACACTGCGACTGGACACCACATGGGGCTTACAAACATGCAGCCATCCATTCCACTGCCATGCTATTGACAAAACAAAAACTGCACATTGAAGTCCTTTGTCTGGGTTGGTTTGTCAGTTTCCATGCAGGTCAAGGTCTGTTTGATTTCCCTTGAGGCATCTAGACACTATCACTGTTTAATACAGACTGTGTTCCAAAAACAGGAAGGGCAGGCAAGGATTGAACCAGGTAATATCAGGGACAAATATCAGAGAGTTCGGCGTCTGAAACAAATGAGGAAGAGCAAACGCCAAGCACCATTACAGATGAACCTTACATAGACAGGCAGGGTGAGAGAGGGGAAAGTTAGAAGAGGAATCTAGGCTTACGCTCCAACACGCCACACGAGCACACACTCCAACCAGGCCGCCAGAGGGGACGCCTGGGGGCCACAGTACCTGCGTGGGGGTTGGGGCTGGGGCCGGAGAAAGGCTTGGGGCTGAGGCACGAACCACCGGCTCCAGCTAGCATACAACAGCCACAGAAAGATGCAGCCAAGCACCAATTAGAAAGAGAGAGTGAGGGAGAGAGGGAGAGAGGGAGAGAGGGAGAGAGGGAGAGAGAGAGTGAGGGAGAGAGGGAGAGAGGGAGAGAGAGTGAGGGAGAGAGGGAGAGAGAGAGTGAGGGAGAGAGGGAGAGAGGGAGAGAGGGAGAGAGAGTGAGGGAGAGAGAGAAAGACAAAGAGAGATGAGAAACAGAATATAAAATGTTTGACAGGTGACAAAACAAGAATGGAAACAAAAAGCAGCAGACAGAAAATGATTACAATGATTAGTGAACATGTGAACACAGTAACCCAGTCATGCATGGATATGGTTGCCTGACCACTCAAATTGACTTCCTCCGCTGCTCTATGTTCGATACATAATTCGGTCTGAGACTGCCATGAATGAAGTAATTTGTAGTGATGTCAAAATGAGGGGTGTTGTACAAAACAAAGTCATCAGCGATTGGACCCTTTCTAACTAATCAGTGTATCAAAGCCAATGACGAATTTTCAAAACGCTGCTTTATCCACGTGTGTTCTGGCTCTGGCCCAATCCATCCGTTTCTGGGACCAATCAAAATGGTTAGAATGTGTTTGCGTTCTAGAACTCGTCGGGGAGGTACTAAGATACAGATTAATTGTGGAGAAGAAACTAATGTTCGTGGGCGTAGCGTTTGGGTAGCCAGGCAATGGATATGGCCCAAATTAATAAATCTGTACTTTTAATTAAATGTGCCAAAAAAGAAAATTACAAATTACTATTAGCAATCAAGATAAAGATGTAAAGAGAGGAGGAGAGATAGAGAGCATGATGGGTTGTTAATGGAAAAGAAATAAGCACCTCTAAATTCATTTATGGAATGTTAATCAATGTGTCCTGTTAAAATGAATAAAGGAAAGAAAGTAAAGATTAAAAAAGTGAAAGACATGAGAGGAGAAGCATGTATCTACGCAGTCCAGAGGGAGAGAGAGAGAGAGAGGAAATAATAGAGAAATGTAGAGCGAGAGCAAGGGAAAGAGAGTGAGAGCGAGAGTGAGAGCGCAAGAAAGAAAGAAAGAAAGAAAGAAAGAAAGAAAGAAAGAAAGAAAGAAAGAAAGAAAGAAAGAAAGAAAGAAAGAAAGAAAGAAAGAAAGAAAGAAAGAAAGAAAGAAAGAAAGAAAGAAAGAAAGAAAGAAAGACAAGGAGGGAAGGTGGGTCTTTACAGGCGTAGTGAAGATCCTCTCCAGGCGTCTCTGAGCCTCTTCAGTGGGACTGAGTGGCGCCTCCTGGAGGTCAGATCACCAACAGGATGAGCTCTGAAACTACTAGGCTATCAAAGCGCACTATTCTAGCGGACCACATACAACACTTAACACTGCTTCATAGATAACAGAAAAGTGTACTTTTCATGCTGTGAGATGTTAGCTAGATGCCGTGCCAATCCTGAACTCATACACACTTGGATACAATACCTCATGTCCACAGCATAGCAACAGTGACCTGTGTGAATGCTGTGGGGCACACCAACACACACACACACCTTTTGGGTTATGGTTGGGGTAGTCTTTGATGCAACGGTTGATGACTTGTTCTGCGGTGAAGCCTTCTCAATGGGAACAGAGGACAGAGGAGAGGCTGCTAAAGCCTTCACCTTCAAATGATACACACAGATACATCCACACGCACAAGCACACCGTAAGTAATGTACACACACATACAAGTAGTCTATAAGATAAAGAAATTATACAACCATGCTGAACAAACTCACAACAAACCATGCTCTAGACGTCCAGAGTCTAGCTAAGCTATTGAGCAAATCAACAGTCGAGGGACACAAAAGCCCACTTGGATGTGAAATCATTCAGATCTCAACGCACAGGGCGAAGCCAAGCAAAACTATAACTAGCTTGGATAACAATCCACAAGCAAACTTTAGCCTTAGACAACTATATCAAACTCAGATAGCCACCGTAGCGGTCAAAGCCAGCCTGTGGTCTGCTAGCAAGAAAACAAAGACCCTGAGAGGCCGGTAATTGCCAAAACTCAGCAAGAATCCAGCAAAAAGACAAAACCTTTTTAACATATCTGGCATCTGCAAATTGTATAGATAGTTCTCTTATCCCAATGCCTGCCAAAGTGGCTGCAGCGCAGCTTTAAACTATTTCCCCAGAAAGACAATGTCACTATCGGTAATTAGCTCTGCGGGTCTCCCTGGAACTCCAGGTCACAGCGACAGAATATTCCACCCCGATACTCTTTTTCCTCCTTTGGAAACAATGTTTCCAAGCTGCAGACGACAGCAGGGTCTCTTGGGTTGAGGCTGGGGGAAAAAATAACTACTGAACTTGTTGTTTGTTTTACTGGAAGCTGTCTCAGCAGCCCTGGCGTCTCACAGGAGAGAGATGTGAGGAAGGAGAGCTGTGTGAGACAGGCTCCATCCCCCATGAGAAACTCAGAGAAAGATGGAGCTGGTATCAGAGCATCGAACACAACAAAAGCTTCAGCCCCATGAGACTGCGCCCTTTAACAAACTGAGAAACAAACTGACTTTGTGCAGATGAGAAAGTTCTGGAGAAACAAACAGTTCAATAGGGAGTTGAGAGCAATTTGGCAGGCTGGGCCCAACGTGGCCCCAAAATGTAGCCTAAACTCTGCTAACAAGTGGAGAACTCATAAAGATAAGTGAAGTTAGTTCAAATAACACCCCACACACACACAAAAAGAACTGGGGTTATCATGGAGACGCAATGAGTGCTTTCTGTGTATTAGCGATTAACGTCCGGTTTTTCACACAGTGTTCTCAAAAGTGATCCATGCAGTGTGGACAGTAAGCCTACCTCAGGCTTCTTCACGGCTGGTAGTTTGGGGGGCGGGATGAACGCCGGTGGTGGCGAGAGGGGACTCGCCTTGGGAGTGATGAAGGTGGGAGGAGGGGAGAGAGGCGAGGACTTGGGGGCTGGGATAAAACCTGCAGCGGGAGTACTGGGGGAGGACTTGGAGGTGGGAACGGATGCTGAAGGGGGAGTGACAGGGGAGGATTTAGAAGAGGGGACAAAACCAGCAGGTGGGGAAAGGGGGGTATATTTTGGGGCTGGTATGAACCCGGCAGGTGGGGACATGGGGGTCGATTTTAGTGGTGGGACGAAGCATGATGGGGGAATGGCTGGGGAGGATTTGGGGGCTGCAGTGGAAACTGAAGGACTAACAGCAGTGGATTTTGGGGCTGGTACAAACCCAGCAGGTGGAGAAAGGGAGGCTGATTTTGGTGGTGGGATGAAACCTGCAGGAGGTGAGAGCGGGGAAGGCTTTGAGGCAGGGATGAAGCCTGCGGGTGCAGACTTGGATGGAACCGAGGTCAAATTCGAAGTAGTAGGAGGAACTTTGGCAGGTGCAGTCGACACGGGAGTCTTATCCTCCTGTTTTGAAACTGGGCCGACTTTAGGGCTAGATTTAATATCAACCAACTTTGGGCTTTCTTTTTCCCCTCTTTTCACCGCTTCCTCTTGTTTTTTTTCAGGTGGCTCATCTTTGCGTGTGCGAGGGCGGTCCCTGGTCCTCCCGCGGACCATGAGGCTGGCCAGCCCAGCTGATATATCGTCCTTCTCCTCTGTCTTGATGGTGTCGTGCTTGAAAGAGAACAATGGAACCTTTGGGACCTTGGGCACAGATGTTGGCGCTTGCGATGGTACCAATTTAGGAGGTTCAGTAGCAGGTTTGGTGGGCTCAGGAGCTGGAGCATCCTCCTCTTCTGCAGGTAGTACCTTCCTCACCACTCGACGCAGCACCTTCACTACCTTCTTACGGGTAAGGCTCTGATCATCGTTGTCCAGGTCTGGCTGGTTGGCACTGCCGTTGGCAGAGCTTCCATTGATGGCACTGCCGTTAACGGATCCGTTGGGCTTGCTGTTCCCATTCAGCACAGGCTCAGGGCTAATCATGGAAGCTCTGCGTGGGTCAGGGCTCCTGAAGCGCAGTGCTGGCGTCTGGATCGGAGGCACTGGACTTATGAAGCGTTCAGGGACCTTTACGGCCCTGCGTACCCTGGGTGGTGAGGGACTCCTGACCCTGACCCCGGGCTGTGTCTTGGCAGGCTCTGGGCTTTTGGTGCGGAATAGGCCCCTGCCAGGCTCCAGACTGGGCACGGACTGGGAGCGGCTACTCATACTGCCACTGTCGCTGTCTGACTACTCACACAGCAGGGAGGGAGAGAGCAGAGCAGCAAGACAAATGAGGAGAAACCAGAACAGACTTAAAGTAAAGTCACGCAGTTCAGCTTAAAGCATATGCAAACTCCACTTTGGTTACTCAACCAAAAACTTAATCTGAGCAGCCCTGGATTTGTCTGGATCGTCTCATAGTGTATGTATGGATGACCAAAGGGATCACAGGTCCTACGCACTAGCAGGATTGTGGCTACTGTGCTTGTTTGCTCTCCTGGACAGGCGTGCTGTTATGCTCACCCAACTGCCACATGCCTGCCCAGGTCCTGAAATAGAACAGGATGGGTTGATATGAGAGGTGGTGGGTGGAGGTTTCAGACTGAGATAGTAGAGGTGTCTATGGGTGCAGACTTGGCCCCCTCTCTGCACTGCAGCACCTCGCTTCTAATGAAAGATCTAATGACACACACACCTTCACTCAGCTGCAAGCAAATCCTGCTATATCACTCAAACACACACACACACACTTGTGCGGAATCCTTCTCCCAGCTGCATATCACACACTAACACACTGTCCTTCCTGACCTCACTCCCCACGCTAACTGAGCATCGTGCCAATGACACACATTCTTATCTCTCCCCTAGTATTTCACACTTGAATATCCCTGCCGTCTTACAAGCCTTGTTATAACCCAACATACTACACTGCCTTCCACAGACGGAGCCTACCTCCACCTAAGAGGCTAACCAACACTTCTGAAGGACAGTAACACTTTAATGCATTAATAACCTGCTTTAGTGTTTAATCTTCCCCTCCTCCTATGCTCCAGTCGCTACAGTACCTGGCATGGCTCCATGGCTCCCCGGGGGGGGGGGCTTCTAGCTGATGGATTCCCCCGTCCAGACCAGGACGGCTGTAGTGTGCGGGGATGCAGCCCTTGGGATGCCGGCAGGCTGGGGATCAAGGCCTGGTTCCCTGCTGGCTCTCTACTGTTCTTCTGTCTCTCTCTCTCTGTCTGCACTGCTGCAGAGTAAGTGTTAAAGACACACTGCCTCTTCGCCTCGCTGAACACTGCGGCCACACACTCTAGTCTTCCCCTCTTTCAGCTCCCTACATACCCGCGCCCTGGCTCAGCACATCAGTCTCCCTACAGTACCCGGCGAGGGAACACTGCCTGGCTCAGCACATCAGTCTGCCTACAGTACCCGGCGAGGGAACACTGCCTGGCTCAGCACATCAGTCTGCCTACAGTACCCAGCGAGGGAACACTGCCTGGCTCAGCACATCAGTTTGGGGTTTTAGGCTGGGTTTCTGTATCTGCTGATGTAAAAAGGGCTTTGTAAATCAATTTGATTTGATCCGTCTCCCTACAGTACCCGGCGAGGGAACACTGTGTGAGCTCTCAGACTGGGAGAGGAAAAAGGTCAACTGTGGTTCGCTATCTTCGCTTTCCAACCAAGCTGCATTAATAGAGAAAACTGGAAATGTGGAAGATATTCATAAACTCTTGAAGGACAATATAAGTTGAAAACATACTTGTTTATTATCAAAACGAATACCCTTCATCAGGGTGTCAGAAACACGCTGGTTTTAATAATAAAGTATTGTCCCCCAAGAGTTGCTGAATATCTTTTATATTTGTGCGCGTGTTGCATATTATAAACTGTCTGTTTGTTAATATTTAGGCTACGTTGGGATATGGCTGCAATTCTCACAGCGAGGCTACAGACTTCAGGAAAAAACAGCGTCATTTGAAAATAAAGGAATTATACTATTTACAAAGCAATTACAGAGGCCAAACACAGCACGGATCACCAGGCGTTTGTTGTGCAATTAAAAAGTGCATCCGTCTGTGACATTACATCCAGAATAGAAAAATAACAACGCTCTTCCACGTTGTGCCTGTTTTCACATCGGCTTGTTAATTAGTAACTGTTTCCTATCGTGGTGAGAAAGACAATTGTCTTATGTCAGGAGCTACCAGGGTGTGTCTGGTTCCAATGGCTCAACTGGTTGAAACACAGTACTGATGGCAAACCTCCAGGTAAGAGACCAGTGACGTGACAGGCACATCTCAATAGTCTGATGTGGCTTCCTCTCCTCATCTGTAAGGATACCATAATGGACTCCAATCCCCAGAAACCTGTGATCCCTTTAGTCACACACTCCACATTCCTGCTTAAACTGATACTTTGGGATTTTGGCTTTATCTACTTCCCCAGTCAGATGAACTTGTGGATACCATTTTTATGTCTCCAAGTCCAGTATGAAGGAAGTCAGAGGTAGTTTTCCAGTCACTGCGCTAACAATAGTTAGCAATTGCGCTAGTGCTAGTTAGCAACTTCCTTCAAACTGCACACAGAGACATAAAAATGGTATCCACGAGTTCATCTGACTCTGGGGAAGTAGATAAAGGTCCTTAATGCCAAAATCCCGAAGTATCCCTTCAAGCCTACAGCAGGGCTATTTGATTCCGGTCCTGGAGGGCTGAAACACTTCTGGTTTTTGTTTCTACCTGGTAGTTCATTGCACTAAATCAGTACCTGATTAGAAAAAGAGGATGAAATCCGGAAGTGTTTCGGCCCTCCAGGACCGGAATTGAATAGCCCTGCTCTAGAACTTCACAACATGAGAAAGATACCACTCAACTTACACCCTGGTTTGAGGTCTTGGAGCCTGGTGGTCTGACCTCTTCTTTGACCTAAAGAGTTCGGTAAGACAAGGGACTGAGGTCAAAACCTGGGACACTTAGAAGAAGTGGTCACTCGCCAGGGGTACTTGCAGGAAACACTCCCCTCACTGCACAACATGCAAAACACACACCATGCTGCAAACCTGGATGTATGCTATGTGGAAGAGCTATCTATCACTTACCATACCACACACCACACAGTGTCTACTTGAACGTTAAGGCTAATAATATTCACAGATACTAATCTGTAGCCACAAAGGAACATTAATATGTAATAGTGACACATGAGAACTACAAGGCCTGCTTAAAAAGGCTTCGGGTTTATTTTTATTTATTTAGCACTATGATCTTTTCTTTTGGGTAACAGTTTGGGGAGGCATCAGTTTACTGTGGAGCTACAGGATGTGTTGTGATGGTCAAACAAAATGGCAGTGAATCAAAATGAAATCAAAAGCCAGCTTGGCTGTCAGAGCTCCCCCAGAATAAAGTATTTGAAGCAATATCACGGAGCTTGTCATTTTGCCAAAGCACATTACTCCAGTCAAGGTTTTTCCACGGTGAGTCAAACACTGATATTGGATCATGCATCCGATGACAACGGTTACTTTTAGCACACCCCGTCAGAAAACCACGGCAGAGGCATGGCTGTCAGACCGCAAGCTTTCACCGACGTGACACTCTCAAGCCCCAAAATGGACGCTTAGTGGAGGTGTGATACATGCAGGGCACACATTTCTACAGGCAGACACACCAACGTAACCCACCCCATGTCCCCACACCGTGCAGTGCCGCACCAACTGTGCTGTGAGGAAAACTGAACAGGACTTCCCTTTTGCTCCCAGAAGGAAAAGCGCGATGAGAATGCCATGTTGGCTGCGCTGATGTCATGAGCTGTGCCGGATGAGGGGGGAAGAGGGGGGAGGGCAGGAATGGAAAGAAGTGCTGGACAGACGGATGGAAGGGTGGATCTTCACAATAGAGGCCAAAATCACTGGTTCTTCACTCTAGGGGCCGTAACCAGTGGGATAGTGAAAGGACCACGTGTCGCAGGAAGTGAAGTGAACAAGTCTAGGGTACCAAGAAAAGCAAGAGGAGAGGGATAAGATACACAAACCTACATACAGGAACACACTGTACACAGAACCAAGACTCAACCATTCACTTATGATTGACAAGTGATTTGTCACACAAAAAGTATCTAGGAAATGTTGATGTCATCACAGTAAAAAACAAACAGAACACCAATACAGCAATACATACACATGACCTTTGGGATATTTCTATAAAGAAAACATTCAATGCCAAATACCAGACTGTTGAGAAGCTGCAGTGAGGCGGGTTAGAACGCCTCCCTGTCCCTGCTGAGAGCATTCAATCTGTGGGTTAAGCGGGGGGCCCCTTCTCTTATCACATCCGGCTGTTGCTCAAACATGGTGCCAACCAAGACAGGCCCTGTCACTCCCTGCCCCATGCCCAGGCCCCATGCCCCATGCCCAGGCCTCCTGCCCCATGCCCAGGCCTCCTGCCCAGGCCTCCTGCCCCATGCACAGTCCCCTTGCTCTACTGTAGGTCTGTGTATTAGGAGCAGCCCTGGTCCTAATCCCCCCCAGTACAGAGCGCTTTAGTGGGGTCAGCCAGTCTGTAGCCTGGCTCTGGCTCTCCCACCACAGGCTCTAATGTGTCTATAACAGGGGGGTTGCTGAGGTCTGCTGCTTATCTGTGGACACTCGGCAGGCTCGGCCAGGCAGCGGCCAGGGAGACAGGACAGGGCTTTTTTTAGGAAGAGCCACGTGGGCATAATGCCTCAGAGGGAAACATCAGGTTGGACAGCCAGGTTGACTCTCTGGTTGACTCTCTATCTGAGGAACATACTTTAATGTCTATTAGTCACTGTGAAATATTACAACCGCTTTCTGACTGACTCTGACATGAAAAGCAGAGAAGTACGTAGCCTGATAACAAAGCTTATTGGAAACGTGATTTGATTTGATATGACAAGGAAGAGGGACAGTCATCGCAGGGGTCTACAACTCAACACACAACCAACAGTGACAAAACAACACTGATCTTGAGTAATCACTCGTCCACTGAGAGAGAGTTAAGAGTTAGGGCAGCCAGTTGGTGTTGACAGAGGAAACAGCACACACTCTTTCTGCATCTCAGATCCACTTTGTACTGTAGGCTAGGGTCAGGCTGGTCCCCCTACAATAGAAAAAGGAAGTCAACCCACAGATGGCACCCTACACAGGAAATCACAGGATAGCAGATCCATTTTCCACATCCAAACTTGGCAAACGTTGTTCTTCAATAGGTTATCCCTCAACAGTTGGTCAGAACAGTAGGCTAGATGAGGAAACTCACAAAAAATGTATCTGGAATTTCCACAAAAGACTATGGGTCTGCATTGCTAATAGCATAGCTCACTATACCAAGTACCAACACACACTGAACAGTTAACGTGACTTTTCCAACAGAGGCGAGACTCAAAAGACACAAAGGCTCCATTCAACTTCTGCCCAATCTGCCTATGAAAGCCAGTTCCAGACAGCTACCACCACAGCCTTCCTGGCAGACACACTCCTTTCACTTCTACTATTACAGTATTCTACTGTCATAACATGCTAAAGCACACAGATCAAACCAAATAAACCAAGTTACTTTCCCTAACACTACACCAAGGCTCAGGCAACAGGCTGTTAGCATAGCTACCTAGCATCTCCAGAGCCAAAATGGCTCCCCTTAGCTGAGCCTGAGCTCAGTTGCAGAGAGAGATGGTTAGTCCCCCTCACTTTCAGCCCTAAAAATAGTGTTACCGGCAGGGCCCTGGTAGAGACCGCACACTCAGCCCACAGAAGGCCTCTCGCTTTCCCCCAACAATCCTGGAACCACGGCTCCTCCTTTACCTGCTGTCCTGTGTAGGTGAGTAGTGTAGAGTTAGGTTTGGTAGAGCCAATCCTTCCCTGACTGAAATAAGCCCTTAAAACGTTGCCGGTAACGGGGGTTCAACCCAGAGTTAGTTGAGAGTGTGTGAAAGAGCTGAGATAGCCGGCGGACTCACGTCACGTCACACAGGGCACAGGCTGGAGAGAGGAGCCCACTGATAGGCTGCCTATTCTCAGAGAGACAAGGAGGGGACAGCTGTCACGATACGAGGGTCCAGGGGGCTAAAAATAGCTCCCCAGAACCAACACCGCTGTCACTAATGCCTCCCCTGGTTCCCTGGCTAGCCCCCCACCTCAAGAATTCAGGCCAGCTAGCAGCCCTCTCTCTCTCACGGCAGTTGCTGTCTCCTCAGTTGCTCCTTGGGGACCCCAGTCAAGTCAGTGTGTGTGTGTGTGTGTGTGTGTGTGTGTGTGTGTGTCTGTGGCCTATGTGTCAAATCTCTGTTGTGACTTATTTGAGGAGTGATGGATGTCTGATAAATGTAGTGTAATAAAGTGTTTTGCTGTTGTCAGACAGTCTACTGTAAGCGTGTACTACAGACCTGAAGGTGCATGTGTGTTTTGATTATGTGGGAAGCGTAGTCCTTTCTCCTGTGTGTTTTGGTAATGAGGGAAGCGTAGTCCTTTCTCCTGTGTGTTTTGGTTATGAGGTAAGCGTAGTCCTTTCTCCTGTGTGTTTTGATTATGAGGGAAGTGTAGTCCTTTCTCCTGTGTGTTTTGATTATGTGGGAAGCGTAGTCCTTTCTCCTGTGTATTTTGGTTATGAGGTAAGCGTAGTCCTTTCTCCTGTTTGTTTTGATTATGAGGGAAGCGTAGTCCTTTCTCCTGTTTGTTTTGATTATGAGGGAAGCGTAGTCCTTTCTCCTGTGTATTTTGGTTATGAGGTAAGCGTAGTCCTTTCTCCTGTGTATTTTGGTTATGAGGGAAGCGTAGTCCTTTCTCCTGTTTGTTTTGATTATGAGGGAAGCGTAGTCCTTTCTCCTGTGTGCAGGTCTGTCTGAGGCTGGGAGTGGCAGAACAAAATGCGGGAAAGGACGGAAACTGAGGAGAAAACCAGAAGTGCTATGACACGGGGCACAGGAAATGACAAAGGGCTGTAGTGCACACTGGGTACAACATTAGGTTTCAATCCTCAATCATTTTCTCTCTCTCTCTCTCTCTCTCTCTCTCAGGGGAACTGTAATAAACAGTCAACAAGTAAACAAACAGTGGTGCAGTGTCACTAAGGGAAGAGGCACAGAATACCATATTGATACAATCCAAAGGCACATAAATCAATGCTATTATCTACTCACACCCTCCTAACAAAACAAGACCTCAGGCCACTTAATTTAATATCAGAACTACTTCTCTTATAGAACTATTCTCAATGTTATATCACTAAACACCACTAGAGGGCAACACTTCCTATTTAAGGACTTGTATATGTATTCAACGCCCTCACATAGCCACTAGGCGGAGTAAGAACACTAAATATAAACAAGCCTGTACCGTGTGACCGCAGCAGCAGCACAAAGACAAAGAGCTGATTCTTCACCAATCACAACAAACTGCCGTCACGCTACAGAGGAAGAGAGGAAACAAATCCAAGTCATGTGCGCCACAAAAGCTTAGGAATAGTATGACACAAGGTTAGGAATAGTATGACACAAGGCTAGGCTAGGCTGTTATCCAGTTAGCTGTGTGGGGAATCTGAGCAGAGTGTTGTACTGTATACTGGTCAGTGCTGAGGGAGAGTGCTTCTAGAAGCTGGCCAGAGAGGTGTTGTGGGATGAAGGGTGGGAACTGCTGCACAAGGACGATTTCAGAACATGGAGCACAGAAATACAGTGATGTCACTGAGTTCGTGTGTATACATCACTGTTTGTGTGTGTGGTTGCATGCATGCTACTTAAAGTCCCAGGACATTTATAGTATTAGGCAAGACTGCCTTCTCCTCTTGTGCACCAGTGGCATGGAATAGTCTACAACCATGCTTCATCTAGTTATGTTAGTGTCACTGAATTAATTTAAAATGTTGATGGGACACTGTTACAGAGGAGTGTAAATGCTTTTTTTAGGCTGGATCATGTTGTTGTATTGTATTGTTGTATGTTTTAATTCTGTAATGTATTGATTGTTGCTGCCTTCTTGGCCAGGTCTCCCTTGGAAAAGAGACTCTTGGTCTCAATGGGCTTTTCCTGGTTAAATAAAGGTTAAATAAAAAATTAAAATAAATGCTCGCTGCTACATGTGTGCAAAATGTGCATGCAGTGTTTTTGTGTGTGTGTGTGTGTGTCTACTTGTCTGCTTGTGTAACGTGTGTATTAAAGCATAATAACCTTATAGATCAGTGGTACAGTATAGTACAGATAGATCTATCTGACTTCATGACATCAGCATTGTAACAGTAACAAGAAGTTGTTTCAAGGAACACTGATGGTGAGAGAGACAGAGCGGGCCTGGAAGTGTGTCCACTGGATGCTGTGTGAAGGCACTCCCATCACTCCCATGTACGCATGGCAAACAGTAGGATCCAAAAGGAAATTAAGGTATGAGTTTGTCGGCTGGGAATAATATAATATAATATAATATAATATGCCATTTAGCAGACGCTTTTATCCAAAGCGACTTACAGTCATGTGTGCATACATTTTTACGTATGGGTGGTCCCGGGGATCGAACCCACTACCCTGGCATTACAAGCGCCATGCTCTACCAATTGAGCTACAGAGGACCACTAACAGGAATAACATGCTGCCTCTGACAAGCACAGAGCCGGAATGTCCAACCCCCTTTACACTCAACTGCAATGGTATTCAACACAATATTCACAGTACCCACGGCGGAAACAATGCCCTACATTTCACAATACATTTTCATTGAAAACACTAAATCTGTGTTACATTTGATTAAAATTCCTGCCAATTCAGAGATTGAATCTGTCGGTCCCCCCTCCGGACGAATTCCATGTCGTCCAATACAATTCACAGGAATGTAAAATGAATTGATCCATGCTCTGGTAACACACAAACACTATGATTTCCTCCCTAATCCCTAGTCTTCCAGGTTGATTGGTGTGTATGAACCAGGATGTGATGAGTGCTTCCGTAATAATGTGACCATCTGCTGCCCAGGCCTGTTGACAGGAGACCCTATCCTATCGAGGAAGGGTATTAAGGGAATATCACAAGTCATCGAGGAATGAACCCTCTCAAATCAGTGCCAAGCACTGTCCCTGTTGATATAGTGAACATGTTATGGCAGTGAGGTCATGGCTCCTAAACACATTGATTACTTCTAGCTTCAGAGCTCTGGTCATCAATGCCACTGACTCAAGCAGGATAATATCTCCCATTCATTTTGAGGATTGTTTTTGGTCAAACTGTGGTAGAAGATTGTATCTTCACAATATGTGTAGTCTTCCAACGCTGTAGGTCAGTTTTGTAACATAGTCATAATAACACAGTCCTCCAGTGGCTACTAACAATGACTGAGGGAGAAACCCAGTGACTAACCCAGTTGTCTGTCATCAGACATGTCCTGGCCAGCCTCTACATGGGTCCCAGCATACACAGACTAGTACAATTGAGGGCTGTGCCATAAGGCCAAAATATAATAATTTTCGTATTTTTTACGGTATGGCGGTATTTCATGCTTTTTTTAAGGTACCTAATCTGTTTTATGAGAAGTGCATGACCCTAGGATGGCAACAAATGAATTCTACGTGGTTTTAATGGGCTTTCTCCATTTATACTCAACCAAACTAGATCAAAACTGAAAGTGAAGTAGTCCAATTTTTTGGAACTTTTCATTTATTTAGCACTGTATCAACATATTGTTATAGACGGTATTGTAAAAATCCATACCGTTATTT